TAATAATACTTTACTATTAGCTAAGGTGAGAATTGTCCTTCTCGGTGGGCCAAAATGACCTTTACTTATAATTAATAAAATCTGTATGCTTGTGTGAAATACAGTTGAATATTATCTTACTATTGATTATCGATGCGCAACAAATGTGATGAATGGACCGGGAACCCAAATTTTATAATTTAATTCTATAGGGCTCACACTGTTAATGTATAATATGAAATTTGTTTCTTTGACAAGAATAACTTTAATGTTAGTTTTTTGCATAATGACGGCAATTAAGTCATTTTTCTCGAGTCCCTTCTCTTGAGATGGGCTTTTTTTTGGTGGAAAATAATGATATTTCGCCCAAAGAATTACCAAATCGTTGATTACTGTTTTATACAATATTATCTCAGATCAGGGTTATCGTTAAAATATCAGGCCGGGAAGTTTAAATTTGGGAATACCCAGAATCACGAGGGCACGTGCCTGCTCCAGGTCACGTTTCCATTTCACAACGCAGATCACAACATAAAATAGCATTACATAAAAGCAATCGTTTTTATTCCCTAATATGTTTCATTAAAATTCACGCAAATAAATCATGTGTTAAAAAAGAAATGGTTGTTTTGAGCAAATACTAGTATTAAATTCTTTTTACTGTTTGTCTTTCTTACGTGACCTATTTTAGACATAATTATACAATACTGTTAAAGCAATTCAGCTATATTAATATTATAATGTAGTCTTTGTTTGTAGCTAATACGTAAGAAAATATAAATGGCTATGTTTTGTTATTAAAACTTATAAGGCCCTTTATTAATTTAAACTTTAAACATAGTCATTTAAATTTTATATACATGCATGTTACATTATCAGATTTGCAGAAAAGAAAAATCTTTATCTATGTTATATATATTCATACGTATAAATAAACCAAAGTTTTTAAATTATTATTTAAGTGAAAAATGAAAAAGATTTCGATCTACCCTAGACGACTTCTAGAAATGCTGTGTAAGTAAACATAAACATGCCCTAAGAAACGTGTTGCCAATTTTCTTTAAGTGCGATAAAACTCTAGTAATCATTTAAATATGAATTTCTTTAAAGTATTTTTCACATTTTTATTCCTCTTGGTCCTGATTGGTCAATCTTATATAATTTCATAAGAGGTTTCTGCCTGTTCCTGTTACTAATGGATGTTCAAGTATTCATAATGAATTTATTACAAAACAGAAAACAAATTTTAGTTATAATGATGTCAAAGATTGTTATGAAAGCTATCCATTTGATAAGATGTTCTTCAAAGGTTTTTAAATCTCTATATGCGCATAAAAATAATATTTACATTATGCATAAAGTAACAGTATACACAATGTGTTCTGATCAATTGTATGATATATCTATTTGCTAAAATTCAGACGATCGATGCGTTAACCGATCTTATCAATGGGTTCTACACATTTTTGGATAAAGTAAAAGAACCCCCACAACCTGGATTTGACTTTGATTAATGGATTTAAGAGCTGAATTAAAGCTTTCTCGGAATAAATTTTATGCAACTCTATATGATTTTACAATAAGCCATTCAATTTTCGTTTTATACAATTTAATTATTATTTGAATTTTACACCAACTTTCTTATATAATAGATTGATATTAAATATCTTTTCAATGATTCAAATGATGCCCACACGAGATTTAGTTCAAACATTTGTTTTTATACAAATATGACATTTTATTCAGTTGTTGATAATGGAAAGCAGGTAATTTATATTATCATTTATTTTTAATTCTGTTTTTTTTTTCGAAAATTAAAGTCTTCAATGACACTATTGACCGATCTAATATTGACTGCTAAGAAACTCATATTGATGGTCAACAAGTATTCCAAATAATTTACGAGTATTCCAACAAATCAGTTTATTGGTCAAGAGATCTTAGTGTACGATTTAATATAGTGCTTGAGCATATCTTTTAAAAAGATCTTTTGCCATACGTTATGAGATACCAGAGAAGCTAGATATCATTTACACACTTAAATGCGATAACACTAATGAATTCGATGTTATAAGAAACTGGAATGCTTTTATTATTCGTTCAATTTTAAATAAATTTAATGATTCAAAATCCTATTTTGATAATACTATCAAAGGAAACAAACAACCTGTATCTTCTAACCTAAAGCATCGAAAAATTACAAAAATAATCGATAATGCTAATGGTATATTAGCAAACCAAGACCAAGGTGTAACCACAATAAGAATTGTCAATCATTTTATAAAGTGTAAGATTTTGGTGTTGTAAAAATAATTACGAACAACCCAATACATTAACTCAGATGAGGCCATAGCCATGTTTCCGAAAGTAATTCAAGGATTTAAAGAGCTAGTGAATGCAGGTATTAAAAGGTAATTTGCGATCTTGTATAAATGTTTTATTATATTCATTTTATCTATTTATAACATATATTTTATTTTATTATATATATATATATATTATTAAGATTGTTCTTAACTTATTGGATATTTAGTCACTACCATATTTTTCAATGTACTCTCATTCCCTAATACTTATCCTATGTTTGCCCTTGATTTCCGAATTTCCGAATAAATGAGACTTGCAACTACTGAACAATTTAAACTTGCAACCTTAGATAATGCTTTCGATATGAGCGATTGTGTTAATGCAAAAACTCATGCTAATTTTACAAGTACTGATGAGCTCCTTGGCAATAATGTTTATATACGTGGTGGTGTTATGGGAAATTATTCCAATAAATTTGTAATAAGCGACTCTTATTTGAATGAATCTCTGCCTTGGAAACCTGAAGATTACATCATATAACTAATGGTTTATATGGTTTATATGGTTCTGCATGTGCTCTTTTTGCCGAGCATGTAGTAAAATTTAACAATGTTACTTTTGTTGCTGTTGGTGGAATTGCAAGCAATCCTTTATTATCTTATTCTTCATTTATTGGTGGGCCTATTTTTACCTCAATAGAAATGTATGATTCTTTAGATAAATTAGGTTTACTAAATAATAGTTTAATGCCTAAATCTTTTCCCTTGGCTTGAATGGATATCATATTTAATAGGTATGATGCATATAATAAAATAAATTATGATTAAATATTAAAATATGAAATTCGACCTGCTGACTTTAGATTATTTTATAATGAAAAAAATATTAGAAATGTTTCTATTTTATGGTCTCCAACTGCAGCTTTAATTGGTTCAAAAAGATAATAATTATTTATATTTATTATTAATTGCAATTGTAATATTCTGTTATATTTAATTAAATAAATTTATAATCAAATCAATTTGTATATCTCAATTGGAATTTGGTGTGTTGTTTATGTTTGTTAATACAACTATTATAAAGAAAATTATAAATTGATTAGAAGAAAGTAGAATAATTTGTAGTAAAATTGAAATGTATTATAGTATAGATACAGATTGTAATAATTGTTTGGCACGTTTGAAAAAGATAATATTTAGATATATATAAATGATATTCCAGAAAGAATGAATAAGTTGTTATCTGAAATACTTAATTGAGCGTTTTCTACTTTACTAGATTATATTCAGCTTTCATGATCACATATTAAAAAAAAATCTTTTTTCTATACGTAAGTATATTATTCGCTTCTTTAGCTACAGGGGTATATCATTTAGAAAAGTGTTTATAATTAATTTTTTTAATTCTAAGCTTTTTTTTTGTACAATATATATGATATTACCAATATATTGATACCTAATCGTTACACCTTTGACTGACAACAGGCTTAAAGCTGTGAGTCGGTCACTCCACGGAAGTAACATCGTGTAACAAATTTAGGGTATGTAACGTGGTATATGAAATTGGTGTAGGGTATATATTATAATAATACTTTACTATTAGCTAAGGTGAGAATTGTCCTTCTCGGTGGGCCAAAATGACCTTTACTTATAATTAATAAAATCTGTATGCTTGTGTGAAATACAGTTGAATATTATCTTACTATTGATTATCGATGCGCAACAAATGTGATGAATGGACCGGGAACCCAAATTTTATAATTTAATTCTATAGGGCTCACACTGTTAATGTATAATATGAAAACTGTGGGATTCAGGTAAAATAAATATGTTATAAAAAAAATAAGAAGTTCAGTTCATCTAATAATTTATTATGTTTAACAAGAGGAAATAATCTACCTAAGTTCAAAAAAAAACTTTATTACATAACAATCAGATGATTATTTCCATATAGAGATGGTCCGTTCCAGGCAAGTTTGAGTGGCTTTTGAGATTATGAGGCTGACGCTTTTTTGTGACATGACTAAGTTTCATGCCAACTAAAAAGAGAATTATTATCGTTATTATTTAAATGATATCAATATTTCGGTTGATGAATTTAAATCATTTCAATGGCTTTTAAAGTAAAATCATGAAGCTGACACCTCGTGACATGACTAAACTTCATGCCCATTATAAACTAAAAGCCTACTTATTAAAACTTGTATATCTCATGATATCGATATTCTGTTGATGAATTTTATCTGTCGCATACAGACTTATTATTGTTTATGCTGAGCAATGGCTTCAAAAATTTATTTAATGACATGACTAAGCTTTGCATCAATTTATAATTAGAAAAAGTTATCTAAAAATTTTGATTTAAAATTATGTCTTATGTGATATCAATATCTCAGTTGATGAATTTTATTGTTTATGCTAAGTAATGGCTTTAAAAGTTTACTAAATATGCTAGTTAATGTTTTAAAATAAGTATATTGTTTGGGTTGAGTGAAGATTATAATGGATTTGTACAATCTATCGTTTAAGTCCGAATAGCTTTATATCAATTCTCACCAAGTATCGCCACCATGATCATGTACGTAATCGGGTTTTAAATTTATTTTCCGACATTAGTATTAAAGATTGATACAATAATGCCGACATTTGATTAATAATAATACAAGTAATAATAAGAATAACTATTTACGCTTTCTTTAATATCGTAAAATGGAAAATCCAAAACTTTGTTCGTCTTGCGGAATTATAAAACCCATTATTGCATTTCAAAGTAATCAAAAAACATGCTTTGAGAGTTAACCCGTATAAATGAAAGCCGAAAAAAGAAAACATGAAGAACAAATTTTAAATGATATTTGTAAGTAAAACGAAAATGGTATAAAATCCTAAGAGATAAAACATGTAGTTTATAAAAAGCTCATGGATATTGAAGGAGAAAATGACGCAGAGGAAGCTTTTGCACTTAAGATCGTAAAGATCTGTGAAAAGGAGATGTCTATTCATACGTTTACCATAAAAAATATGATAATAAACAAATCAAGGCTACATAATTTACCTATTGATATAATTTTCGCTGTGAATAGAGCTGGGATCCTTTGAATATCCATTATGGCTATTCACTAAATATTCATTGTTTTTGGACATTCACAAACGAATATCCGATTTTACATGGGTACACAAAATGATCAAATAGATTAGATTATTCACGACCACTATCCACGAACTTGAGGTAATTAATATTTATTGAATATTTACGAATTTATGTACCAGAACATTCGTTTTTAAATTGAATATTCTTTTTAATCTTGGTTATTCACAGATCCAAACTATAGCTATGAACTCGAAAAAAGAATGAAAACAAATGATAAAAGTAATATACTTCATTATATTTTTGGCGCTTGATTGTTTTGAAAAATCCAATGGTTTCGAAGCAATGAATCGAACATTAAACCTATCCAAAAATGGTGGATAGCATTTAAGATTTCGAACAAACTAATAAACTTCCAAAACCTGGAGTAATCGTGACAAAAACACATTTACTGGTAGCAACTAACGTTTTATACGTGTATTTAAAAAAAATTGAATTTGAATATAAACGCGTTTAAATGTTTGATTGAATGTATTTCGACTTAGAGTTTGTGGTGTAATTAAGTAAATTCCACTAAATAATTTCAATAAAAAAAAAAAGCTTCAATTATTTTTTCAAAAATCTTGTAATTCTTTTATTATTGTGCTTAGATTTAAATTTAAAATACATGATTTAGGAGGTGATACTAGGTGCATTTTTACATCAAGATCACTAGGTTGATACTTTTTATTTGACATGACTAAGCTTCATACCAATTTATAAATTAGAAAAGCTATTTATAAAAATTTGGTATAATTGCATAATATCTCATATTATATCGATATTTCAGTTGACGATTTTATCTGTTATAGAATATTTATTATTGTTTATGCCGAGCAACGGTTTCAAAAGTAAGCCTGTCGTTTGTTTGTAGTGAGTGAAGAAAAAGGTTATTGTGGCTTCTATATACTTTGACTTTAAATCAGAATGTCAATTTATAATTTAGAAAAAGCTATTTAAAAATCTGATCTAAAATTATATCATACAATATTGATATTTCAGTTTAGAGGTTGGAACCGTTCATCGTAATCGAATTTATAACCGGTTTTAACCGGTTATAACTTATAACCGGGTTGAGAATTTTTTAAATCGATCA